TTGAAGAAGGAAATCATGCTTGTTAGGGTAGAGGTTAAGTGCAAGAGAGGAAGACCCTGGATGAGAAGAATTGACACAGTGACTGTGGTAGTCAGGGTAGGTGTGTCAGAGACAGTGAGATTGGCTCAGGAAAAGGCATTGTTCAGGGCTATTGTTCTTAGGATTGCTATGAGTTGCAGATGACTTGAAGGCATGTAACAACAACAGTGGTTTTTAAAAACCAGCTACACTCTTACCTCAGGGCCAGAAGGGATATAGTTTTGCAAGAATATTTCCTTATCTACTTAGGCCAAAGCAATGTGTGCTAACAAGAATATTCTTTATATAAAAAGTGAAGATATATTTAGACCAATGATTCCCTACCCTCCTGAAAGTGTTTCACCCTCTGTAAACTCCTGCCAATGTTTTAAAACCACCAGTTTAGCATGACTATCCTTTGTCTGTTTCCCGTTACAAACCCAATTCAAAGCAGTTTGGAGGAGCCTCGCCATTTTGGACAGAAGGACCATGAGACTCTACCACGTAATAAAGTCTTTCCTCATTAAAGCTCAGGTGTTTGGGTGATGCAATAGTAGCCCTTACAGTGTTAGATTACAGGGAGCTCTGGTGACCTAGTGGCAAGAAGCTGCACTGCAATACCAGAGGTATGCAGTTCAAATCCACCAGATGCTCTGCTGGAGAAGGAAGGACAGTTTCATCCTGTACCAGTCAGATCTTATTTGATGGTTGTTGTTGTTGTTGCTGTTATGTGCTGTCGAGTCGTTTGTGACTCACAGCGACCCTATGTACAACAGCCCTAAACCGTGCTCTATCCTGTGCCAATCTCATTGTCCCTGACAAACCCATCCCGAGTACCCCAGTCACTGAATCAATCCACCTCATAGAGGGTCTTCCCCTCCTGCGCTGTCCCTCCACTCTACCCAGCATGATGTCCCTCTCCAAGGACCTGTCTCTCCTTACAACATGTCCAAAGTATGTCAGACGAAGCCCCAGAATCCTTGCCTCCAAGGAGCAGCCTGGTTTAATCCTCTCTACGATGAATCTGTTTGTTTTCTTGTCAGTCCAGGGTACATTCAATACTCTTCTCCAGCACCACAGCTCAAAGGCGTCAATTCTCCTTTTATCCTCCCTAGTCATTGTCCAACTCTCTGATGCATAACAAGTGGTTGCAAAAACCATGGCCTGTATCAGGCGGACCTTAGTCTCCTGAGAGACACTGTTGCTCTTGAGTATTTTGGAGAGGTCCCTAACCACAGACTTTCCCATCGCAATACGTTTTTTTATTTCCTGGCTACTGGTGCCAAGAGTGTTGACCGTGGAGCCGAGCAAACTGAAGCTGTGAACAATCTCAATCTCTTCGCCATCCATCCTGATGCTACCGATTGGTCCAGTGGTGAGAATTTTTGTCTTCTTAACATTGAGCCTCAGTCCATATTGAAGGCTGCAGTCCTTGACCCTCTGCAGTAAGTGCATGAGGTCCTCCTCAGTTTCAGCGAGCAAGGTTGTGTCATCTGCATAACGCAGATTGTTGAGAGATCGTCTACCAATCCTAGTGCCACGCCTCTCCTCATAGAGCCCCGTGTCTCGGATAATCTGCTCTGCATACAGGTTGAAAAGGTATGGAGACAGGACACATCCCTGACGTACACCCTTCCCAATTTTGAACCATGCAATGTTGCCCTGCTCTGTTCTGACTACTGCCTCTTGGTCCAAGTATAGGTTTCGCATTAGCACGATTAAATGTTCTGAGATTCCCATTCTTCTCAGAGTCAGCCACAGTTTGTTATGATCCACACAGTCAAATGACTTTGCATAATCAATGAAACACAGATAGACATTCTTCTGGTATTCTCTGCTTTCAGCTAAGATCCATCTAACATCAGCTATAATATCCCTAGTACCATGACCCCTTCTAAACCCAGCCTGGACTTCTGGCAGTTCTCTGCTGATGTGCTCTTCCAGTCGTTTTTGGATAATCTTCAGTGGAATCTTGCTTGCGTGTGAAATCAATGATATTGTTCTGTAGTTTCCACACTCAGTTGGGTCCAGTCAGTTGGCCAAGTGGTTGTTCTCCAGATTTCTTGGCACAACTTGGTGAGCACATCCACGGCAGCATCTGTTAGCTAAAATATGTCAATTGGTACATGCAAAAAATAAGTGTTGGGTTACTAATCTAAAAGGTCAAGAGCAAAATGTCAATTGAAAATAGCTCAAAACCACCAGCTGCTCTATAGAAAGATGAGCAATTTTTTCCTGTAAACTGTTTCTAGAAATCTGAGGGAGGGTCGCTATGAGTTAGAATCAGCTCAAAGACAGGCAGAGGGAGAAAAATGGACAATCTCCTCCCACGCAATTACTGCCTCTAAAAAAACCTGCTAGTTGGTCAGCAGTGAGTGGCTCTTACTTGATGGTGCACAACAATAACAACAGTGACAGTAGGTTTGGTTTGGTTTATAGGAAAGTAACAGTTCAAGTTTTATATGTAGAACAAAACAATGAAGTCCTGAGGTTTTGAACCTCTGATTAAGTATAAGGAGAGGATTAGCCAATATTTTAAAAAAAAAGTTGTCCAGTTGAAGAAAGAGTTGATGTGTTTAGTTCATCAGAAGAGTTTGTTGGAATGTCTCTGTTAGTTTGATGTGAGGCAGAATTACCAAAATGGGAGATGTGCTTTCCAGTTTTTGAGCTAAAATAAACAGTTGAAACAGTATTTCCATGCTACCCGTCTGCACTTGGCTTGCTGAAAGTGAGGAGAACTTGAAGCACTTGTTGCAGAAGATCAAAGAATACAGCCTTCAATATGGATTGCATCTTAACATCAAGAAAATAGAAATTCTTACCACTAGACCTATAGTCAATATCATGATAGAAGGAGAAAAGATTGCAACTGTTGATATCTTCATCTTACTTGAATCCACAGTCAACATCCTTGGTACTGATAGTCGGGAAATTAGGAGTCATACTGCAGTAGGAAAGTCTTCAGTCAGGGACCTTTTCATATTATTGAGGAGCAGTGGTGTCAGTTTGAGAACTAAGATGCACCTGATTCACATCAAGGTCTTTCCAGTCACTTGCTATGTATCTAGAGCTGGACAGTGAATAGGGATAACAGAAGAATTGATGTCTTTGAGCCATGGATGGCCAAAAGAACAAATACATCTTGGAGAAAGTGAAGCCATAATGCTGCTTGGCAGCAAAGTTGAAAAAGCCTCACCTAACATACTTTGACAATCTTGGAGAGGGACATCATGCTTGGAAAGGCTCAGGGTAAGCGAAGGAGAGGAAGACCTTCGACCAGGTGGATTGACACAGTGACTGCTGCAATGGGCTCTAGTGTGTCATGAAGTGTGAGGATAGCATAGAATAGAACAGAGTTCAGATCTTATTCATAGGTTCACTATAGGCCACGGTGCCTAACAACAGCCACAGCACCCTGTATACACTAAAGAAAAACATCTCCATATAAGCAATTTAACACTGCAAGAAGCTGAAGAAAAAGTAGAGCGACCCCCTGAGATTTACTGTGTAGGACTATTATATCAAGAGCAATTTGGATTTCAGAGCCTGGGAATACCACACCTTGGTGCTCACGGGCTTTCTTCTCAGACGGGAGTTTGAAATTTACAGAAATGAAATAATTAAAGATTTGTTTGATAGAATTCAGACCAAGCCGACCCAAGCATGTTCTTTGTGAAGACTGAACAGGCAATTTACAACTTCACTTTTTTCCCTTTGACAAATAAATTTTAATTCAGTGAGTTAAATTTGAAGTATTCAGAGGTATTTAGAGAAAACAAAGTTGTAATTTCAGGAGAGATGAAGATTTTTTTTCCCCTGAGGACATTTAAAAGCTTGTTTTATGATCATCTGTGGAGGTGGTAATACCTGAGGTAGTATTTAAATAATCAGCCCTCTGTCCTTCGGCCTGGTTTGATTACAAGAAATGGTAGTGCTCAAAGTATGCTGTGGCCGCCAGCAGCTCATGGTGAGCTTGAGATAGGGTCATGTGATCAGAGCTGTGCAGGGTCTGTGTGGGGAAGGGCATGTTGCCACATAGCTTGTGCAGGGCTATGTAGCATGCAGACATAGCAGTCATGTGTGAAATACTAGGTTCTTATTAAATTGTTGGCACCGGAGTGTATATATGAGCCTTTATAAAGTAAAATTGATTGAAAATATTTAACTGCTTTTGTGTCTCTGTCAGAAGTCTAGACCCAGAAGTAAAGAAGCAGTTTAATTTCAGGCCACCTTTGTATGTGGAATTCTACCAGTTTGATTATTGATAACAGTTGCTCTGCTCATGCCAGCAAGCTCTTAGACTACTGGCATGTTACTAGTTATCCTTGACAGTCCTTTAGCTAAATCAAGCATAGTCTGTATTGTGCTGTACATCAGTGTTTCTGAAAACTCCTAGATAACTTACTGTCTGAAATCAGGACCATTTGGAAGGTTGTAAGCCAAGGACTGGCTGGCTTGGGTGGGTCCGGGGCCAGGTAGCCTCTGCTGCTGTTTTCCTAACCCCTCAGAGTATGCTTGTTGACAACAGGATCCATCAGTAGCATGCAGGATGACGTTTAGGATAAAGTTTTCCAAGAACATTAAAAAGAACTATAAAAATTGCAATTTAAGTTTCAGAGTCCTCACCTCCTCACCTGGGACGTTTGCGGATCCTGGCGGTCAGAGCTTGATCCTTCCGCGCGCCGAGAGCTGCCGCAGCCTGGCGCCCTCCCTCAGTCCCGCGCCGCGTTGCTCCACATCTCCCCGGACCCGGAGCTGCGCTCGCTTTGATTCCGTGATGCTACACTCCAGGGGAATTTCTGTTCCTTCCTCTTTGGCGCTCCGAAAGCCGGTCCTGGAAACCTCCTCACTTTGGAAGAGAATTCCACTTCCCGAGAACGACGGTCGCTGTGGCTGTGCCGACCCCCTTTGCGGACCAGAGAGCCAGCGGAGCTCGCCCGCCCGCGTTCCCCCGACACCTTGCTTCGTTAGCTGGAGGAAGCCAGCCGAGACTTCATTAATGCACCCATTCCAGTGGTGTAGCGGGTGTTTCTGCGGCCTGGGACTGGTTGGCACCAACAAGTCCTGCTCAATGCTACCCGTCAGCTTTCAGGACCTTCCCCTCAACATCTACATGGTCATCTTTGGCACAGGCATCTTTGTCTTCATGCTCAGCCTCATCTTCTGTTGCTGTTTTATCAGCAAACTCCGGAACCAGGCACAGAGTGAGCGATATGGCTATAAGGAGGTGGTGCTTAAAGGTGATCCGAAGAAGTTACAGCTTTATGGGCAAACCTGTGCAGTCTGTCTGGAAGACTTCAAGGGGAAGGATGAGCTCGGTATGCTCCTTTGCAAACATGCCTTTCACCGGAAGTGTTTGGTAAAGTGGCTGGAAGTGCGCTGTGTCTGTCCCATGTGTAACAAACCCATTGCTGGTCCCTTAGAGGCCACTCAGGGCATTGGTATCCTTTTGGATGAGCTGGTCTGAGTATTGCCTTTATATGAAGATTTGGAGAAAGACCTCTTGCCTTGTGGATGTCTGGTCCCTTTGCACAGCTACAGTGAACGAAGACAGGTGGACAATTTTGATGAAGCTCACCTCGGAGGGGTGGATCGTGCCGAGTAAATCTTTGCCATAAGATGACACCAGTGCCAGACTTGCCCCACCTGCCTGCCTCCTGAAGCCACCTTCCCTGCTGCTCAACACTGATGGCACTACCCATCTAAACTACTGCATCCTGGTTAAAAAAAAAATTGCAATTTAGAAATTATTCACTTTTTAAAAGATTCTGATTTTAGAAGTTCTTATACATTTTTCTCCCCACTGAATCATTCCAGTGCTGGAGAAGAATATTGAGGGTACCATAGACCTCTAGGAAAACAAACAGATTCATCCTGGCAAGGGTTAAACCGGGCTGCTCCTTGGAGGCAAGGATTCTGAGGCTCCATCTAACATACTTTGGACATCTTGTGAGGAGGGACCGGTCCTTGGAAAAGAACATCATGCTTGGTAGGGTGGAGGGACAGCACAGGAGGGGAAGGCCCTCTATGAGATGGATTGATTCAGTGACTGGGGTAATCAGGATGGGAGTGTCAGAGACAGTGCGATTGGCACAGGACAGAGCAGAGTTTAGGGCTGTTGTACATAGGGTCACTATGAGTCACAAGCGACTTGATGGCAGATAACAACAACAACAACATCCCTCCACCCATCAAATTGTGTGACCCTATGATTAATCACCCATCCTTACCCCTCTGTTCTTACCCAGTCCCCTCTTGGATCCTCATGCTTACTGTACAATAATGGTTTTATACAGTATTTGTCCTTATGTGACTGAGTTAGTTTACTCAGCATAATGCTCTCCAGTCCCTCCCAAATTAGGTAGTGATTTACAAAATCATTGCTCCTACCAGCTGCATAGTATTTCATCACGTGAATGTACCATAATTTCTCAATCCATTCGATTGTGGTTGGACATTTGGGCTGTTGCCATGTTCTTGTGATGGTGTTCTATGAACATTGGTGTGCAGTCACTGTTTGTGCTTCAGTTCTCATTCTTATCTGCGTATATTCCAAGCAGTGGGATAACTGAGTCGAATGGAATTTCTATGTTCAGCTTTCTGAGGAAATGATATACTGCAGAGTGGTTGTACCATTTTACAATCCTATCACCTGTTTATTATCTTGCCACATCCTTTCCAACATTTATTACTTGCTGTCCTGTTAATCTTTGCCAAGTGCTACTGGAGTGAGATGGCACCTCATTGTGGTTTTGATTTACTTCTCTCTTAGTGTCAGTGATTTTGAGCATTTCTTCAGGTGTCTGTTGGCCATCTGAGTATCTTCCTCTGTGAGAATTCTTTCCTATCTTTTTGTTGAAGAAGTTGTGATTTCCCAATTTGATAGGTTATTTATTTATTTATTTTACAGAGGTTTTTGGATTTCCATTCATTCATTGCCGCAATT